TATTGTCAAATTGTGATGTGGGTGATGCAACCATTTAAATTATTTTCTTTCCTTCAGTCTGTTATGGTTCAGTTGATCAATAAATTTTCATTCATGCCAACATCTTCTATCAATTCCAATACTGAAATGATATGAAGCCACATTTAGATATTAATTACAATTGCCTAAGGTGTGCTTCGCGAGACTCTCTAATTGCTATTAATTTATGAAAAAATGCTCATCAATTATCTTCGCCTCAGCATAGATCATCATTTTCTTGCCGATTGTTTTCGATAATCTTTATTATTTTGCTCTCATTGTTCTAACGATGTACCCTTTCTAATTTCCCCTTCTTTTTCTAATTCCAGAACTCTGGACACCAACCTGATGTGCTGCCACCTTGATCTTTTCAGGCAGGATGCCGATTGCGAATTTGCCTTCAATGATAACTTCGCAAGCTGTCACTCCATGTTCCGCAACCTTGCTCCAAGGAGAAGTCTTTGGGTTGTCGGCCTTCTCTCGTTGCTTGGGTCTGTGTTTGTAGTTGGGTGGCAATATTTCTTCCCTGATAACAATATGGTCCAGTCTATTATGTTGGTAAATCTTGGTATTTCAGACGGCATCATGGGTATTTACCTCATCATTATAGGTATAAAAGACCTGCAATGGTCAGGGGAATACTACCTGCACGACTATGAGTGGCGCACCGGCTGGTTTTGCCATTTCAATGGCGCCATGTCTGTCCTTTCAAGCGAGGTGTCTGTTATGATGATTTCTCTGATTGCATGGGACAGGCTCAAGAACATTGTGTTTCCTTACACGTTTGCAAAAATTACACCAAGGCAGACCCGTATTATGTGCGCAGTTATCTGGCTGGTGGGAGGCATTATGGCATTCCTTCCCTTGTCTGGAATGCGATACTTTGGTGACTGGTATTATGGCAAGAACGTGGTGTGCCTGCCACTGCAACTTTCCCCGCAGTTACAAGAAGGCTGGGAATTCTCCACTTCCATCTTTATCATTTTCAATTTTTCTCTTTTCATCTTCATTATGATTGCTTATCTTGCCATCTTGTTGAAATCATGGTCGTCGAGCAGACGGCTGGGTGCGCATGGAACTGTTCGTGAAATACGAGCAAGAGCACAAAGCGCACAGGCTAAAAGGGAAAGAGCACTTGCCAAAAGAGTCTTCTTCATTATTCTGACCGATTTCCTGTGTTGGATACCAATCATTGCTATCGGCATCAAGTCGCACGTCGAGAAAACGTTTGATCCACCTGGTGATCTGGCAGTGTGGATTGCAGTGTTCGCCTTGCCGATCAATTCAGCTATCAACCCACTGCTGTACACGCTTTCTACTCCACAGGTAACAGTTTTCTCTTGCTTTGAAATACGATATACTGTCATTTTCAGTCTTAACAGACACCCCTGCGAAATGATTTTTGAAACAAACACAGATCGATTATCCCCACTGTTTTCCAGAAATTTTGATACTTTCACTCAAAGGCAACCTCTCTCTTTTTCAAATTTATTCTTATTACGACTGACAAATTATATTTTGAGACCCTCAAGTTACAGTCGATAAAAGTTTGTTTTTGTATATTTTTCGCGAAGTACCCCAGAAGTGGAGAAGCACAGTTTTTCTGTTTACTTCTTCACTGTTGGTTATAACCATGGAGACAAACCTAAATTTAAATGCAATTTAGTAAATATCTCTTTCATTAACTGCCGCATAAATTGATAATGTATAGGTGCAAGCTGTGTTGAAACCAAAACTGAGGAAACTGTGGTTCAATGTTCGATCTATTTTCCGAAGTGGACAAAATCAAGAAGGTACGGTGCATTTATACATACCATAATAAGGCCTTGGAGGAGATGAGGGTGAAAGTGGTATGAAATGGTAAAAACAAACATTGCTTCCAATAAAAAAAAGAAAACAGAAAACGAAAACAAACAGACAAAAAGAAAATTTTTTAAATCTCAAAGGCATAATAAACAAAATGTTATAACAGGTTTTCGTAAAGAACAGAAGGTATTGTAGAAGAGGCCGGCAAGAAAAGAAATTAATGCAAGAGAGTGACTAAAACTGTGGGAAGAAATGGGGACTAAGCACTAAATTTATAATGTCAATAGGAGAAACGACCCGATTAGAAATCATAATTTAATGTTCATGAGCTATTCCGAGTTATAGCGGTTCAGAGATAAAGTGCCGCAACTTCGGCGCGGGAATGAACTGTCATCGGTATAAAGAGGAAAAACCGAGGTAGTAAAAATCAGCGAAAATTTTTCGAACTTCAAAGTGGGACAGTCAATTTTATTTTATTTTATTTCATTTTTATTATTTTTTTTGTGGGAGAGATATGGCGGCAAAGTAAAAAAATATAGAGCTGTTAGATTTATGCGCGAGGGATGCATTCTGTTTTTTTCCTGCTGATTCGTAGCGGGGGGTTACTGTATTAGGCAAAATAAAACAAAATGATATGAAACGAAATGCAAATTCTGTCATTTGTGAAAAGAACTCAAAATCTTTCATTTGCGAACTGGAAATCTGTAATTTGCAAGACTAGAAGTGTGGAGAACTTCAAGGTCACCAACCGGAAGAATAAATATGTCGGTTCATCACAAGTTTGGATTGCATATGCAACCTATTGTGCAATGTAAAGATAGTGCGCAACAAGCGGTAGAAACGGCCGAAACTTTAGTTTCTTGGGTTTTATCAAAACTTCCTAAATGCTTCATATCCCACGAATGCACAGCTGAAGTATCAACCAATTGTTTTATAACATTGTCAACGCATTATGTTGCATGTTGTTTTCTCACAATTTGGGAAAATTTCGAGAAATACAGCGCGCAGTTAGTCTCAAATAAGTCGTCTTTGAACAATCACAAGCTCTAATGAAACTAGATAAGTTCAAAAACCTATCCCCAAGCTAGAAAAAAAATTTGACAGTTTTTTGTTATAATGTACTCAGAAACCAAAATTTTTAAAATAAAATTCGCAGTGCATACTTGGCAATCAGATTTCAAAGTCACTTCTTATATACGTCGGGTTTACCCAATGAACGTGAACTGAAAGGTAAGTCAAAAAAGACGTAAAAATATCAGAGAGAAACGCTTCATTCAAATAAATACCAAGTACGCTATGTATTGCCGAAAAGAATCATATTTCCTTGCGTATGTTCGACCCGCGTTAAAGATTCACATTTCTGGGATCGCTGTTTACTTGACTTCATGGCCAGAATATTGCGAAGCGTTGTGTTCAAAAGTTATCACATCTAAAACAAAATCTTCTTTTGCAGAATACTTCAGGTATGTTAACACTTATAAAAATATATCTAACGAGCAAAAGAATGCCCCAAAATAGCGAAGTCGACTGTTTTCAGCAAATTCAGTTTCGTTTTCCATCCATGATTCGGATCGTGTTTGGGAATCGTAGTATTGCTCACCCGAGAGCTCTTGCCATCGCTTTTAAGACTTAAAAGATCATCGCTTCCCAAACGAGTATCCTTCCACAGATTTACTTTTCAATAAGAGCTTTTAAAGGTCTATCTCAATCGGGATGGAAAGGATAAATTTCTTGAAAACCTCTCAGCCAAACTCGTCCGCAAGTTCGCATTCAATCGCTGAGGAAAATTTTCAATCTGGAGGCATATGTCTGCTGACGTCATTAGCGTGTACAATAGGATTATGAAGCACGCTTACGCTGTTGAATTTGGGAACTTGAATTTGTTAGCTATGTTATCAGTTCCTCTCTCCCACAAATACTTTTTCACTCTCCAACAATGAATTCAAGAAACTTTCGCTAATTATTCTTCATACCGATGAGATAGACTTCGCCTCTTTCTCGCGCCGTAATTTAGGCACCAGATCTCTGAACCAAGCAATATTGGGGCAAATGGATACCACTTGCAAATTAAACCTTTTTTAAATAGAATGTGAGCGTAAAACTGTGAACCATTTTCAAAATATAGATGGATAAGCTTCTAAAGATGCAGATCTGACTTGAAGAATGACTTTTTAAACTGATGTTTGGATAAGCCTTAATCTTTGTTTGTAAAAGTTTAAGACAATTTTTTTTTATTTATTTATTTTTTTTGTTGTTGTTCTGTTACATAGCGGAAGCAGGAAATGATCAGCAGGGACAGATTATGAATGAAGAACACGCCAACAACGAAGAGGGTAATATATGGTGATTCCTTGTGTAATTAAAAATTAAATGACTTCTCTCCAACTTGGTAGTGTTCAATGTATAATGATTTTCCTTTGTTTCTTCTTTTCCTTTTTATTCCCTTTTTTCCCACATTTTCTTCCCATAGGAGAGCAGATTGAAATGCAAGAAATAGAGCACAACGAAATCCCGGAAGTGGAAGCTCCTGAATCGCCTTTTCTGCAACCAGGTCAGTATTCCATCCGTATACTTATTTTCACTGAAACATCATTCCGCAATTAGCTAAGTGGGTAATCAAATGGGAAACCTCTGAAGCAAATTATTCGTCTCAGTACTCGTAGGTATTATATCGTGGGTATGAATGTACTTTTTTTTAAATGATTTTGGTAATATGTGATTGATTTCATAGTTTTCAACTCGCATGGCACGTGTATATATTTAAATTAAATCATCTACCACATGTTAGCACTCTTCCTGATTAAAATAAATAAATGGAAACATACCACTCTGCTCCTCTTCCGATAATTCTTTTTGTGCATTTTGAGAAAAGAAAAATAGAGGAAGGGCTTCCCGTTATGACATAAACGCCATGAATTTTAATGTAATCACGATAGGCTGATTACTGAAAGAAAAAACCTATAATAAAACTAACTCCTTTGGTCTTTCTTAAGTTACCTTCAACAATTCTGGAGACAGTTCTCCTTACGCACTTTCTGAACCTCACTTGGTTCCCATACGACAGAGCTCTAGTTAATGACTAATAAGTATTCACAATTATCATTCCATGATTTAAGTTTGCGGTTCTACTATGAGGTAAATAACTTAAACTTGAAAATAATTTTTTGGTCCATCGACAGCTATGGAACAAGCCTGTGGAGGAGATGAGACCCCATCTTCTTCCGGTAAAATGTCTTATTAATTGAAATAAAATTCCCCGCCTATTATTATGTTTTTATTATTTTTTTTTTATTTCAAAAATATTAAAACAAGTCATGCAGAACTGTTTTATTCACAAGAGTAGAACTGTAATCATTACAACTGTAAATTGTAACTTCGACTGCTGTTTAAAATTGTTCCTGAGAATCGCCAGATGCTGAGCAAGAAATGATGTGGTGGGAGTTAATGAAAGAAAGCATTGAGTCACATGAACTGTTTTTTGAAAAAGTGTGATTTCAAATACACGTTATCATGCGCATAAACTTACACATGTGAAATAATGTGAGCTGTATAACATAAGCATCATGGCATGGTTTACTCTACTTGTTCTTTTGAAACAGATTATGAGGATGATTTTGACATCCGACCAGCCACTGAAAAGACTGTCGAAGGTAAAGAACTTTTAAACAAACTATGTAAGTCTACCAAACAATAAATTAAGAGGAGCCTCGTACAACCCAAAGTGCTGGCTGGTTCCACTAAGCTGGCTTGTGGTTTATTTATTTATATATCGTTGTATGTTATCCAAAAAAAGATTCTATTTCGGTCTCCTGAATGAATTCATAGAAGAAGCTAGGTGGTCACCATCTCCTTTAAGGTCAAAAAAATCTTTCCTCACTAACTGAAAATAATGACTCTTGCAAACTTAAAAAGACAGAGTGGGGGAAATTGGACAAAATTAGACGTATTCATGCCCTACACGCAAGTGCACCAAACACCACCTGCCTCATGCCCGTTTAGGGTAGAAGACTCTTGCGCAATACCTAGTGAATATCTTTAATAGCTATTGATACAAGAGTTGAAAAATTTTCAACAAATGTCGTTTGTTTTAATGATCTTATTACTTACTCATGTCATAATGCACGTAGTTTCAAGTTTACAAGTATTCGATAACTAAATTTCTTCAAAATATGTTTCTCCAGGTCAGAAAGGAGAGAAAAAGCGTGAGCCTGAACAGCCAATTGAAGAAGGTAAACTGCATACAGTTCAGTTTTTTTTTTTTTTTGCTTTAATTTTTTTTAACCTTTACAGCTAAATGAGCCAATTTGGTGGCTTCGACCATGGGCCGGGTTTATTATGAAGACCACTTATTATATTTGATAGGTATTATATATGCGTTAGCCTACACAGCAACACTGACAGTTACTATAATGCATTCTATACGTTTCCCTTAAAGTACTCATATCTCATTATAATTAACAACCTTGCTATCACACAGAATCTAAGGAGCAGGTGGAGAGTGAAGAGATTCCGATGCCAAGTGACGAAGGTAAAGGATATAGAGATTTTGATTGGTTACCCAAGGTGTTAACGCGCTAGATGAATTATTGAAGCATATCTTTTACCTTGGTAGTCCCTGGAAAAAAAGATAATGACTTCTTAAAATGCTCAAGTCAAAGCAGGATTGAACGACTGAAACTAATGTACATTTTATCAAATGCTTTATCTTCTTAAAAAGCTGAAAACCTCGAAGAAGAAGACAAGAAAGTGCTTGAGCCTGACATGGACACGGAAGAGGAAGGTAACATTCCTTATAAGCAGATAACTTGGATTTATCGACCGAGTTGATAATGTAAACTGATCCCCGTGAAGAGTTTCAAAGCTGATGCCTCGAGCGTCAGCCCTACGTCAGAGCGAATGGAGGAATTTAGGTTGTGTGAGTGTTTATATGTGGAAAATGGAGATACGCTATAGGTGAGAACATGGTGACAAGGAATATTAGAGTGAATAAAAAGCGTTTGTTGATACTGTGGGGATCAAGAGTGCCGATTTGAAAGATAATTTTTTTGCTCTAGAGTTTTGCCCCCTTCTGAACTGCCTAGATATAGGGAAAGGCTGTAGACTGCCATGTGATTCCTAGAACGTTCAGGAAGATTAAAGTGTCTAGCAACTCGTTTGGATGCGTCTTTATACGTTGCAAAGGTGTTTTAGAAATTGGCCACCTAGTCACCATTCTGTGTCATCAATGTATATCTTTTTGCAACAAGTGCAAGTTATGTTATATATGACATTGGCGGAACTGCAAGCACAACTTAACCTCTTCGTACCGTTATGGAACCTAGTTCTTAAACACTAATCAGCTTAGCCGAAACAGTGCTTATGCACACTTGCTTTTCATTCGGGGACAACTATTACAAAAAAAAAGAATAGTTAACAATGAAACCAGTTAAAGCCAATATTTTCGTAGGTCTTATCGAACACCAATTTCTCGGTTAATACAACGGCCTCAAACCTAAACTCTACGTCGCTACATTGAAGTATATATCGGTGCTACCGCAATTTATAACCGCGGTCAACTCCTTGTCTAAAATATACCGAGGAAATTTCCGACATTTCTTTGCCTTTTTAGAAATCAAAGTTTTAATTAAAGCCGACGGTTAATGCACTAGTGTGTACAACAAACCTACCGACTTATATTGTTACTTGTTATATTCACCTCCGCACCATTACATGTTAAGAAGACCACTGCCCTTTCTCAGTTTGTTAGACTTCGTCTTTTACGTAGTTATGACTGTGATTTTTTTCCGACATATCAAAGACAATGTGCCAATAGCTATTCTATTCTGTCGTTCAAGCGGGCCACCACCACAACCAAAAAATTGATCGACTGTCAGCACCACAAGAGTCACAGAAGTAAATTACCGATTGCATTCAATTCACTCCCACATTTCACAGCCATCAGTTAAATACATCATTCTTAAAAACTTAAAATTTCTTTAAAATGATTCAGACTGGTACTACCTTGGCGCAACCACCACCTATTTCATTCAAACGCAGCAAAAACAAACGATCCATCATGTTCAATGATCATTTCACGTGGAAGCAGAGAGACCACTGGGTGACCGATTCTGAGAACACCGTAGCGAAGTAGGAAGTAGAAGGACAAAGACGGAAAACTCTGAAACATTTTTTTTATTAATTTATTTCAAATCGGTATAAACGAAAGCTGTGGTTTGTGTTTATGTAAACACACACACACACCACAATCTCCCCATTCCCTCTGACGAAGGGCTAATGCTTGAAACGTCAGCCTTGAAACTCTTTCCGGTGGCCAATTTATATTATTAAATCAGGTAATGAAACCAAATTATGTATATTTCTCGCCGAAAAAGCACCACAGTTTTTTTTAATTACCCCCTCAACTCATTCCTTATAATTAGCCAACATCGACTCAGAGTGGTCATAAGGTGACGCAAAATCAGTCCAACGTATTCCCTGAAGAAAGCGAAACGCTAAGGAGTGACTGAATTAAGAAATGAAAGAGAACACTTAAGTTTTATTACACTTCGTAACATCGAGGAGCCAAAATCTGTCTGACATCTGTGGAGACGCTTTACAAATATTTTTGTAAAACATAGCTGCCGTGTGGTATATGTCATTAAATAAAAATAATGATCGAAATATCGTGTACCACAATTTTCCAATTACTCTAACACAGAAAAGCTAGAGTTGTATTAGTAAAAACAGATTCAGATTATAGTAGCTTAATTGTCATCTTTTTTCGTTTTCCATCCAGGGGAAGATGAGGAGTTTGATCTTTTATGTCCTCTACTTTAGTTCTCTATTTTCGTTCCAAGGTAAATATTTATCATATATCCCTCAGCAATTCTGAATACTAATGGTTGAAAGCTTGCGGAAAACAAAGCTTGAAAAAGAAATTGTCTTTTGATTGAGTTCTTATCAAACTTTTGGAATTAGTCTCATACTTGAGAAGTAGTGTAAAAATCTCTGACTTTTGTTTCTGATGCCTTGCCGTTCATATGCTGGGAAAACTGACTCCTGATTGCTTGAACCCTCAGGTTCTTGTACCTCGCTAAAACCTGAATCAACTGATTTTCTTTCCCACTCCAACAATGTAACACTTCCTTACATTCTTTAAGCCTGTGGTGACTGAAAAAAAAAGGAAAACTGCATCTGCAGTGATTTAAGCTGCTTCTGGCGTAAAAGAAAACAATGTGATTCGTAATAATTATAATCTCAGCCTGCTGCTTGTGGTTTTGCAAACGAAAACGGTTTTATCCTGATTCTGGTGATTGCTTGAACTCTCAGGTTCTTATGCCTCGCTATAACCTGAATCAACTGATTTTCCTTCCCACTCAAACAATGTAACACTTCCTTATATTCTTTAAGTCTGTGGTGACTAAAATAAAAAGAAAAACTGCATCTGCAAGGATTTAAGCTGCTGCTGGCGTGGAAGAAAGCAGTGTGATTCGTAATAGTTATAATCTACTGCTTGTGGTTTTGTAAACGGAAACGATTTTATCCTGATTTTGGTGATGTACGATAAGTAAAAATATGAGCATACCTGCCTGCTGACCTAACCTTACCACCCAAGTTACTGATTAATAAGATGAGTTAGTGTAATCACTTCACCTTAGTTGATAATGTAAATTGTTCTCCGTTAGAGTTTCTAATTAACAATCTGGTTGATGGGCCAACTGGTCAATTGACTAGTAAGCCGTCAGATTACATCAACTGTTTGAGCTGGCTGAAAGACGGTCTCATAATCTGCCTGACTGTCTGCCAAACTGGATGATTGTCTGTCTGCTTTATTGTCTGCCAGACTGTCTGCTGGACTGTTTTTCTGACTGTCTGCCTGAACCTGTACACAACTGTCTGCCTGAATGTCTATCTGATTTTCTGCCTAACCTTTTGACGGACTGTCTGCCTGACTGTTTGCCTGACTCTCTTTTATACTGTCTCTCAGACTGCCAGTAAGACTATCTGTCTGACTATCTGCTTAACCAGCGGGCATGGAGTGATTTATTTTCAAGCTGCCTGTGGATCAGACTGCCAAAGCCAAATGAGCGACTAACTTTCTGGTTGGTTGTTCTTCATGCATTGATAAATTTGTTTTTTTTTCTCTTTCCATTAGTAAAAGAGACCTTCATGGTTGGAGAAAAGAACAGAAGGATTTAAGTGATAGAAAAAGCAATTCTAGTAATAATCATGTGGTAATTAGAAAAATTATGTCCATCTACTGATCGTTTTTATTGAAGTTATTTGCTATCATTAGTAGTATACATGATTAACTTTGAGGGAGAAGCAATTCCTCAGTGGTTTTAGATATGAATTTTAGCTGATTTTCATTGTAATGTTTTCGGCTTCATTAGGCTTACTCGTAGTTTAGAGGGAATTTAAAGTTTTAAAGTCCATGAATAGCTTCCATTTAGAGTACCTTCTACCTCAGTTTCTTTTTCCTAAAACTGTAATTTAAAAAAAAGACATATATCATAACCAAAGCAAATGTTTAGCATTTAGATTATGTTTGGAAGTTACGTTTCTTAGTATCTCTATTTTAGGAAACAAGCAAACAATAAAAAAATAAAATTTAGAATCATTTAGAGGCACAGACGTCAATTATTGGATATTAAGTAGTATATTGACGATCTTATGGTTCGTTTTTAGTATTCTGATAGTCTTATTTACGAGTATTTCTAACTGAAATCGCTTTCAGCTTGCTTCATTTATGAAATATCCTTAATTTAGAGAAGAACAAAGAAGTTTGGAGGTGTACTGATTTTAAAAAAGACTAACGGGCTTAAATAATAATTAGCAGAGATTTGGCAGTAAAACATAAATTTAAATAAGTCATTTCTAGGTTCTTGACTAATTCTGGGAGAGTGTTTCATTTTGAGTCTAAAAAAAACCAAAGCACTTAGTATTCGACGATAAAACTTAGACAGTTGTGTGGTTCAAGATTTCCAATGGCAGATAATTATTAGCATCCTGACAATCTCATTTCTTATAGTTTTTTTTTTTTTTGGAACTTTTTCCGAGCAATTAGTTAATAGGAGTTACGGTTAATGTTATTTAGGGCTGGAGATTATATCAAGGAACTTTAAAAAATCACGGTCTGGACTTTAGCTACTTAGCTAATTCCACAGCACCTTTGGCGAGTTATCAGGGTAAATTTCGAATTTTTCTTTTTTTTCAACAGTATCTCTAGTTGCAAGAGAAATTAATA